CCATGCTGTCCCGCATCCCCCCGGTGGCTGCCCGCCTCCAGATGTCGGAGCGCAGCATCCTGAGCCGCCTGACCAACCGAGCTGGCGATCCCACCATCCAGCAGGTCAGCGCCCTGAGCCGGTGTTCCTCCCTCGCGTCCTGAGCATCCAGCGTGGGGCTTGGGGCTCGGGGTCTGAGGTTCGGGACTGTGACCTTTAAACCCAAGTCCTTGCCTCCAGGGCGCTTTCGGCTCCTCCCAGATGTACAACAGCAGCTTTGGGCCCAACTTCCGGGGCCCTGGACCGGGAGGGATTGTCAACTACAACCAGATGCCCCTGGGGCCCTATGTGACTGGTAGGTGCCCGCCTGCTTCCGGGCAGCATGCACGAGGCGCCCCTCGGGGCCCGCCGGCCCGCCACGGCCCCGGGCAAGCCGAGGTTTCCTCTCTTTCTGACAGACATCTAGCTGCCCTGTGACTTCTCTCTCTTGCAACGCTCATTCCCAACTGAGGTAAGGCCACTCCTGGACGCCCCCAGGGCCCCCCTCACCCTCTTCAGCGCGGCAGGTCAGGCCTGGCCAGGATGGGCCTGGTCTCCGTGCCGAATTTACGCCCCTGAGCTGTGGGGTCGGCACTGCCTTCCGGGGCTCTGAGGGTCTCGCCAGCATGTCTGGAGCCCCCGCCCCAGCCTCCTCTGCCCTGGGGACTACCTTGGGAGCAAAGTGTCTGCCTAGGTCTGCAGGTCATAGAGGGGTGTGCGCCTGTGTGTACATGCGTGTCTGTGGCGGCAGCGAGTCAGGGGCCCCTGCCTGTCCCCAGCTGGGAACCCTGTCTCCACGGCCCTGCTGCTTGGTGGCCACCCCAGGACGTTACCTCTCGTCCCGCCCGTACTCCCTGCGCAGGACCAGGAAGGCGGCCTGGGTTGGGGGGAGGGCCCAGAGAGGGGCACTTGCTCCACCCCACCCAGCCCCCACCAAGCCCTGTTTGTCCCGCACAGACTTTGCTCCAGGGCGAAGCCGCAGAGGGGAGCGGTTTCCGGGCTGGTCGCCCTTGGCGGCTGTCCACTCCTAGGACCCTCTTGGTCACTCTGGGGGATCTTGGCGAGGGAGTCCCCTCTGCCTGCAGCTGCCCATGACAGGCAGTGGGTGGGGCAGGGACAGGGTGTGGGATGTCCCCCACGATGGAGACCCGGCTGCCTGCCTACCTGTGTAACCTGTGACCTGCCTCTCGCAGCCACGCCTGCCGGGCCACCGGCCCGACCCCCACAGGAGAGAAAAGCTGCCGCCTTTTTAGGAGCCGTGGTCACCGTGGGACAGAAAGGGAACCGGAGTGATGCCATGGCACGGGGGACGCGGCCGGCCCGGCTGTGCCGGAGCCCAGAGTGCCACCTCATCGTAACCCAAGCGTTCCACCCGGCGTCACACCCACACCACACGGGGCGTGCCCCTTGGCTCCCTTTGCCACAGCGACTTCTTAGAGGAGATTCCATTTATTTGTACATCTCTTGCGCTTTCCTATTGAAGACTTGAACAAGTTTGTCTTGGTAAAAGTTGAGTGGCGTACGGAGGAGTCGAACCTGCAGCACGCATCTGTCTGTCATCGGGCTCCAGGCCGGACAGAGCCCCCGAAGCCCCGCCGCCGCCGCCGCCGCCCTGGACTCGGCCCAGCTGGGAGGACGAAGTGTCGCGTCGGCCCCGGAGCTCTCGGTGCCCACCTGTCCCTCTGCTCTGCCCCCTGCCCGTGTGGAGCACCCAGTGCTGGGCGGGTCGGGACTGAGGGGCAGCCGCCCAGCTCAGTGGTGGAGACCTGACTGATGCCCGAGTTAGGACAGGGCATCCTCTTCCTGCCAGGGCCGGAGACCACCAGGTGTGTGCGGTCTCCTTGGGGGAGCGGCGTCAGCAGGTGTCTGTTTCCGGACTCTGTCGGCATGTGGTCCTGGGAGTGGCGGAGGGGCCTGAGCGTGCTGGGTGTGGTCAGGGGCAGGTCGTCCTTGGCGTCTTAGCTGAGAGGCCACAGTAGTGTGGCGGGTGGTGCAGGGGCCCTGGCCCCACCCTGTGCCCCGGGAGGGGGTCGTGCCGAGTTTGGGCCTGCCGATGTAGAGGAGCCAGGACGCCCCTGAGCACCGACTCATCCCTGTTTCTATGGAGATGCCTAGACCCAGGCTCTTGTCACTCAGCACGGGGCCTCTGACGCCCCAGATGTGTGCTCAGAGGGCTTGGGGGAGCTGGGGGCAGGGGACTGTCCCTGCTGGGGCATCCCAGGCTTCATGTCCTGGCCCTCCTCTGCCCTGCCAGTGGTCCCCAGTAACGGCCCCAGGTGTGGGGTTGGGGTGGGCCAAGCCCGGGCCTGTCTGTCTGATGCCCAGCCTGAATTTCAGAGCCTTGGGTTTCCTGGGGAGATGCCCTGGGAGAGAATGCTGTTTGAGTGACAGGCAAGCTGGGTTTGGGGATGCCAGGAGGCATCCCCAAGGGGGAGGGGATTGGGCTCCAGGAGGGGGTTGGGCTCAGCTCCCTGGGCCAGGAATGGGGCCAGGATTTGGCGGCTCACCTTGAGGACAGCTGGGTGACTGGCTGGCCCTTGGGGAGCCCCAGATGTCTGCATCTGTGAATGGTTCTCTCTGAACCCTGGAGAGCTGGACTCCCAGCGCCCCTTCTACCTGGGCAGCGCTGTTCTCCATCCTGATCGAGATCTCCAAGGTAGACCCAGGCCTGATACTGTGTGTCGGTGGAGTGGGGCGGGTCCTGGAAGTGGCCTGCAGTTTGCAGGGCACGCATGTGGCAGCAGCTGACCCTGCCCCCCAGAATAGTGAGGTCCGTCCTGCTCACTGTGGTTCACACGTGTGCGTGTCCCCGATCAGTGCCTCCCTGCAAAGGCTCCTGCCTCAGGCCACAGGCGAGGGGACTGCCACGAGCCCTTCTCCACCCAGGGCCCTGAGTGGTTCCCCTCCCTGTGGTCAGCCTCGTTGGGAGCAGGGCCAGCCTCTGCTGGCCACAATGGATGGTTCCGAGTGTCAGGCTGGGAGGCACACGGCAGCGGGACAGGGGTCTGCGTCTCCTCCGCTCCAGCTCGGGCCCGTGGTCCCTCCCTTCCAGCCCTTCCTCCCAGGGGCCTCCGTCTCCCCATCCCCTCCATCTCCACACCCTCCCCCGCCTTACCAGGGCCCCCTGGGCTCTTCTCACCAGGCGCAGCCAGGCACCCACAGCCGGCCTGGTCCTGCACCCTGGTTTCCAGAGAGGCTCTGCTCTTGGTGAACGGCACCCCGTGGGCCCGGGAGGGGGTTCCGGACCTTTGGGGAGTAAGTTTCCGCTGACTGCTTTGGAAGAGAGAAAGGGTCTTAAGAATGTGTTCTTCTTGGTTTATCACTTATTCCCGCCCCAGGCGGCGGGCGGGCATCTCCGGCTGGGTTTGGTTTTCGCCGTGGGCAGAATGAGGGTCGCGGTGAGCCGTGGGCACCCCAACGTGCTGGCCGGCGGTTTTGTTTCCAGCCACCTTATTATTTAAACCAGTGCCGAGTAGGCTTTCTGTTGAACCACCTTTGGGCCACAGTCCCCGAAAGCGGCACCTGTGGGGCTCCTCACCGACCAGGGGAGGAGCTTGGGTTGACGGACAGAGTGCGGACGGCCACCATTCTCACGTGCCCACCCCGGAAGCACATCCCAGGACCCCACGGCAGGAGACCCACCCTGCAGGCTGCCTTCAGAAGCTCCTTTGTTTTCTGCAAATCACAACCCAGGTCCCGCTGACACCCACTGCTAGTGCAGTGCCGCCTCCACCAGGGGCCTCTTCCCAGGGGCCTCTGGATCCGCCTCTGCCCAGGTGGGGGGCTGGCTGTCTTGCCCCAATGACATCTGACACCCTTGTTCCCAGGTGTCGGGTTCCACGGCTCTTCTGGGCCTGGGGGCTCGGGGATGTGGCAGCAGGCGGCAGGGAAGGGGCTTGGGCAGGACGCAGGGGCTGAGGTTCCGGCCTAGGGGCTCCCCACCGCACCTGTGGCTGTCCTGGGCCCACCCACCGTCTTCATGGGGGGGCCAGCTCAGCCCCATTTTATATTTCCGGAAGTTTACAGGTTGTGGTCTATCAGCCCAAAGTCATTGGCGTTGTGTTTTGGAGTTTTTTCTTAGTTTTTCAGATTTTTTTTTAGACAAAGTATTTTTTTAGGTGCGATAACCCAGAGAGGGCCCGTTGGGTGTGTGTGTGTCCTGAACCCCTGACGTCGAGATGGGAGCCTGAGCCCCCGAACGTGGAGACGAGGGACGGGACCCCCTGCCCCGGGCGGCATCTGGCCCACAGGAGGGGCCGGGCCCCTTGCCCTGGGACAGTCCCAGGCCAGCCAAGGGGCTGGGGATGCCTCGGGTGGGTTGGAGGGTCTCAGCAGGGAGGGTCCCAGCTGGGGGTGGGGCTGGAGCTTCGGAAGCTGAGCCCCTGTAATCGGCGACCTGTCCCACCCTTGGGGGGACGGGTGGGACGCTTTGGCAGGCTGTCGCGGACACGACCCCCTTCACTTTGTACTCTGCGTGTATGTCTTGGTTTTCTGTGTTTTAATAAATCCTTTGGGAAAGGACGGAATCAAAGTGTTTCCCAGAGGTTCTCACCGATCTAGTGCAGGGGTGAGGGCTGGGGGCCGGAGAGGGTGTGGAGGGAATGGAGTGTCACCTGAAGCCACGTCCCCGCTGAGAAGGCACAGCTTGACAGGGCTGAGCACCCTGAGGAGGGGCGTGCGTGGGTGGTGCCTTCCCCTCTCACCTGTGCCCCTAAACACAAGCCCACGGACCCCCTTGTGCCCCGGCCTCTGTCCCCAGAGGGCCCAGCATCCTTCCAGCAGCCAGTGTGTGTGTGTCGAGAGAGACCAGAATAGGGGGTGGGGAGGGCGGTGTGCGTGGTCTCAGTCCCCAACCCCTGCCGCTCCTCCACGGCCACCTTTGGCCCCAGGCTTTGGGGGCTGTGCTCCATGGTGGCTACAACACCCCGCCCCTGCAACTGCCCAGCCCTGAGCACTGGAAGTGAGGGGAGCAGAGAGCCGTGGACCCGACGGCTTGGGTTTTATTCGCTCATTCCATAAATACGGTGCCGGTGGCCCGGTGGGGTGTCGGTCGTTTGGAAGCATGAGGTGCGGGCCGTCTCGCCTGCAGAGGGGGGCGCGTAGCTGAGGGACCGCGGTCATCGAAGAGACAGGTGAGGAAAAGCACGTCATGTACGGGACTGGGGGAGGACACAGGCCGCGGGCGCCCTCTCCGGCGTGCCTCGGGGCCTCGGCTCCGGCCACAGGTGTGGGATGGGAGATGGCGGGGCTCTGGTTCACGGGGAAGACAGAACTCGGCCCAGGGCTGGTCCTGGGGCCTGGTCCTTGTGTTGCCGGCCCCGCCCCATGCAGGCCCAGGCTGCTTTGGGACCACCTTCCCCCGCCTTTCTGGGCTCTGACTTGGGCTTCCATCCAGCTTCCTTTGCCCAGCTCTGGCTCCTAAGTAGAGGGGCCGTTCCCCGGACGTATAGGTGCGGAGGAACAGCACACCCCAGACCCAGGCCGAGGACAGAGCCCCGGGGCCGAGGCTGCTGGGCCCTGCTGAGCTCCACCCTGGGGCCCCTCATCTCCCTCCCTTTGGCCATTAAGCCGCCAACAGGGGCTTGGTCTTCTCAGGGGTGGCTCGTGGGGCAGTTGTCCCCACCGCTGGCCTGCTGCCAGCCTGGCCCCTGTTCCAGCAGTGTGAAGGGGCCCAGCCACTCTCCCCAGTGAGGGGGCGCAATCTGGCCCACTGGGTGCAGGACACGAGGCCCAGCACAGGGCCGTGTCAGCACCCGGGCAGGGACAGATGTTGCCCCGGGGGAAGCTTGTAGGCGACTGGTTGGAGAAGAGCCCCGAGGGCCCGAGGGCCCGGCTTAGGAGGACGGGGACGGTTTTAGACTCCAGGGTCAGTGCAAAGGTCAGGAGTGGGGGAAGCTGTCCGCCCTGCCCGCTCTCGGCCTTTGAGGTTTTCTCCGAGCGTTCCCGGCCCGGCCCGGATAGGACTGCTGGCGGCCTTGGCTGCTCTGAAGCAGGCAGGGCCTGCTGTGCCTGCCGCTGGGCCGAGCGTGAGGTGTGGGGGTGCGGGGGGCCGGCAGTCTGCCCTGCCTTTCCTCTGTGCCCCCAGTCTGCTCCAGGGCGTGGGGAGTCCCAGGGGTGGCACTGCTGCCCATCCGCCCAGGTCACAAGCTTTGAGCACAGACACTTAGCGCCCCAGGGGGGGACGTGCCAACCTCACGTGGTCCGAGGCCTCACAGGGGCTCCTCTGGGGGGGGGGTCCCGGGATCTCTGTCTCCACTGTGGGGCTGCTGCCCCGAAAGGCTCTGAGCCTGTTCCCTCTGCACACCCCCAGGCCACCCTGCACATGGCAGAGGCCCGCTCTCCCACGTGGGAGCCACTGTCCAGCTCAGCACGCACAACCTCGGGGCCTCTGGGGCAAGGACAGAGGGGCAGTGGCCGGGTGCCAGGTGAGGCCCTGGAGGGAGCCAGGCGGGAGCCTACTCCCAAACTGCAGAGCCAACCTCCCTGCATCCCCACCCCTGCCAGCCAGGGAGGAGGCAGGGGTTCAGGGACAGCACGGAGGGCCCCTGCAGTGACCCCCTGGAGTAGGTGGCGGTGCAGAATGGGTGGGGAAGCATCTGAGGTCGGGCCCATTGGAAAGTACCTGCAGCCCTCGGTCAGTGGGAGACCCCCGTGGGGAGGCCACTGGAAGATCAGACGGGGTCTCCTCCTCCCCACCCCCAACACCAGGTGGGGGTTCTCGGTAGAGGAGAGGCTGGCCCGGCCCGCCCCTAGGCCCCACTGGTCCACCTGGCCAGGCCTTGAGGGGTCTCGGAGAAGGGCCTCGGCTTGGAGAAAATGAGCTGGTTTCTTCTTGGAAGATGAGCAGAGGCTGCAGGCTTGGGTGGGACCTCGCGACCGCCCTTCTGATCATCAGCACTGTCTCCCCGGCCTGCTGTGGGTCCCGAGAAGCAGTGGATGGTGTGTTGCAGCGACTTCTGGGATGCCTTCCCGGTGACATGTTGGCGCATTCTCTTCTTTTTGATGCAAACCACATTCCAGACTTGGCTTCAAAACAGCATAAGCAAGCGGAGAACAGAGAGACTGGGGGGGGGGGGGAGGGAAAGTGTCCTGGCCGGCTGAGGGGCGTCTTAGGACCTGTAGTCCTTTTTGCTGTATGGTTTATTGCCCAAAATACTATCGATCTCGTGGATGATGGAAGACGACAGTTTGGGAAGGACCTATGTGCCAAGACAAGAGCAAATCAGAATTCCAGCTGGACTGGCCACAGGAGGAAGAGGAGGGGGGGGAGGAGGAGGAGGAGGGTGATGGAGGGTGATTGCTCCCGTTCCCTGGCCAGGCCCGTCAGAATGAGCTCCAGCTGCGGCGCACGGGGCCACGCGGCTTCTGATTCCCAGAGCTTTGGGGTGGGGAGGAAGTCTGCCCTGATTTATACTTGGCCCCTCAAACTCTGGAGTGCTCTAGACCCTTCTGGAAGGCATGAGGTGCGGACTCCACGGTCAGACCCCTGACTTCCACCCCCTAAACTGCCTTTCCCAGCCTTCCCCACTTGCCTTCCATGTGACATAACCCAGGGGTGTCTTTCACGCACTCCCCTCACATCCAGTATGTCGGCCAGTTCTGCTGACCCACCTTCCAAATATCCAGGGTGTACCCACCTCTCCCAGCTCCACTACCAGGGTCCCCCCCGACCCCTGTTGTCATTTCCCAGCACATCTCCCTGTTCCCCAGTCTCCCCTCCACTCAGCAGCCAGAGAGAGGGGGACGCTTCTAAACCCTAAGTCAGACCCTGCCCCTGCTCTACTTGGGATTGCGGGGTTCCCACCTCCCCTGTAATCACTGCCGAAGTCCTCCTCGGAGGACCCGGTGTCCCACGGGGCAGCTCACTCCCGCCTGCCCCACCCCCCAGGCTCGCCTCCACCCTGGGCCTTCCATCGGCTGCTCCCGCTGCCTGGACGCTTCTTCCCCAGGTGTTTGTACCGCCCACTGCTCGGCGCCTCGGCCTCCAAGGCTTTGCTCCCATGTCGCTTCTCCCCAAGCCCACCCCGACGGTCCCTTCCCTGGGACCATGGCTCTACCTCCCCTCTGCCTTGCCGGACACCCCGCCCTTGCTCTAGCCGCCCCCCAGCCCTGTCAGCGCAGATCTGACACCTACTCTCATCCCCTTGGCTCTCTACTCAGTTCTCTGTGTACTGCCTGTTCCGGCCAGGACACCAGCTCTTCCAGAGGGCTGTGAGGTGGCTCGCTGACGGAGCCCGTGTGCCGGGCATGTAGCAGGTGCTCGGCAAGTCCCTGCCGGGCGGATGGCTGGTGGGACCCAGGGCCTGGCACCCTGCAGGAGCCCCGCTCACCTGGATTGCTCCAATGTTCTCCAGGAGCTGGTCCGTGCTGGACGCGCCCAGCAGCACGGAGCTGACCCCCTCGTTCCTCAGGCACCAGGCTGGGGGTGGCAAGACCAGAGGTGAGGGAGAGGCACCCATGCCAGGCGCCCTTTCTGGTTCTACCCTGCCCCTCGTGGGGCCAGAGACACCCAGTTTCTGAGTCTGGGGGCACCTAGGAGGGGCCTGGCCAGCCCAGTGCTCAGCCGTGCTGGGTGGGGGTCGCTGGGGGAGACCCAGCACAGACTGACACCCTGTGGAGAGGCAGCCCAAGTGCTCAGGGACCCCCATCTTCTCCCCATGAGTGTGGAACTCCCATTTCCCATGGCTGGTTGATAGAGGGGGTGGCTTAGGCATCAAGGACTCCTGACATGTCCCAACCCTGCCCCCATCCCCAGCCCCGTCACCTATGGCCAGCTGTGGGAGGGTGCAGCCCAGGCGCTCGGCGATGGCCTGCAGCTCCTTCAGCTTGGCCTGCTGGCGCCGGCCCTCCTCACTCAGGATCTTGTCCTTTAGCCACTGGTAGCCCTGATTGGGGGTGGGGGAGAACCAGGTGAGGGCAGGTCACCTGGACCCGGCAGATGGCTGACCACTGGAAGCCAGGCCAGCACCTCCCCCTGCACCCCCTTGCCCAACCACGTCCCACTGTGGGTGTAGCTGGAAAAGTGGGAAGCCCATTGTCTGCGGGTACCCCCAGGAGACTGAGCCCCCTGAGCCAGTGGACCCACTGAGCCCCCTTCTCCCAGAAGGCCTGGTGTCCTGGGAGGGGAGCTGCTGCCGTTGTTCTAGCACCGAGGGTGTGGTCGGCCAGTCCCCACCTGGGGGCTGCAGTGCTTCCGAGGGACTCCCTGACCTTGTAGTGGGTCGGGGAGTAAGGGGGCAGGCCATCTGCCCTTGCACCGGGCCAGGGACTCTGGTGCTGGGTTTGCCCTGGCCCTGTCTTTCTCTGACTGCTTTGCCCCCAGACCCTGCATTCTGGAGACTCCCTGAGTCCCCTCTTAGAGGTATGTGGGGGGGGGACTAGTCCTGGGAAGTCACCTCGGAGTGACAACCAAGGGAGCCCTGCCACCCAGGGCCCTGGGCATGGGTGTGGGGGTAGGGGCATCCCCAAGGCACCTGTGGACCCAGCCCAGGCTGTGAGTGTGGAACTGAGGAGGATGTCAAGGGGGTGCAGGGGGGGTGCAGAGACCCCTTCACCTGGGACTGTCCCACGGGTGGGCAGCTCTTCCACCCACGGGCTCAGGCCAGCCAGGACTCTGAGTTCCCGTAGCCTGAGCCACCCTGCGGGCAGGGGCCCGGGGAAGGGCACCCAGCACCCAGGCCTCGCCTCCACAAAACGCCCGTCCCCTCCTTTACCTTCAAGGACGCTCTCGAGTAGGGCGGGATGCCGCTGTCATACTTTCCAGAGACGATGCCGCAGGCCAGAGGGGACCACGTCATGGCACCCACTCCTGGGAGGGGAGAGCCAGGTGAGGTCAAGCCGTGGGTCGCTGGGGTGGGGGTGGGGGTCAGAGAGGGGCTGGGAAGGGGTGGGCGCCCACCGATCTTGTGGAAGAGCTCGGGCAGCTGCACCTCCACCTTCTCGCGCTGGAACATGTGGTACTCTGCCTGCTCACAGATGGGCGGGATCAGGTTGAACTGCCGGGCCACTGAGTAGGCCTCCTGAGGACGCAAAGAGAGCATGATGGTCCCCGCCCGGCAGCGGGCGTAGGGGCCGCCTGGGCATCAGGGAGAGACATGGAGGCGTCCCAGGGAAGGCTGCCCAGGGGCCGACCCGCCCCTTCCACCTCTCAGCTTTCCCAGGAGCCTTTGAGGTCTCCGCTGTGAGGTGGGAAAGGGGATGGGTCGTCAGACCCCAAGGCTGAAGGGGTTGAGGGGAAGTACAACCTGGTAGGGAGACTTGGGTTCTGGCATTACTGGCCAGGTAGTCTTGGGCAAGGGGCTCACCCCTCTGGGACTCAGTTTCCCCATCTGTCATGAGGCTCCAATGGGCCAGTGGCACCTGCAGCCCTCACGACAGCAGGAGGGCACTCCGTGCATTTTGTCATGACCATCTCTTGGGACCTGGACCCGGGATGATGGCACTGGCAGAAACCGCTAGGTCAAGGGAGGGAGAGTGGCTGGCAGCAGCCCATTTCTGGAATGTGGGGCTTACGACCTCCACTCCACAGAGCTGGCCGTGGTGAGCCTGGGCCCATGTCTGCAGACGGGCCCTGGGGAAGGCTCATCTGCCGGCCTGAGAGGCCTTCCCTTCTGGCCGGGGCTCGGCTCTCCCATCTGTGAAATGGGGAGAAGACACTGCAGGCCCCGGGCAGCCTCGGGGACGCCCGTGCTCACGAATGCCACTGCCACAGCGGACGGCGCCGGGGCTGCCAGGGTTGCATTTAACCAGACGTGAACATGCTGCTGCATTTCTCCGATGCAGTGGAAATCTGGGACACTGGGATGCGGGGGTTCTGGGGGGCTGGGAGGCACTGAGGCTGAGAGGGGCCTGGAGACGAGGGTGGTAGGTCAGCCTGAGAGGGAAGACAGGCCCCAGGCCTCTGCCCACCAGCCCCCACTCCCACCCATGCCCCTGCTTCTGAAGAGCACAGGGCTACCCCATTGACCCTTCTGGGACACCCCAGAAATAGCAAGGTGCATCTGCTGTCCTTGGCCTAGGAAGCTTCCGTGGAGGGGTAGGACAATAAGGGGATGCTTTCCAGAAGGGCCAGGGAGGGGAAGCATGGTGGATTATGAGGTGGGTGCTCAGGGTCCCAGCAGCCACCCACATGCTGAGCGGTGTGGCCTGGGCATTCATCTCAGCATGAGCTGTGTGACCTTGGGCATGTGACTCAACCTCTCTGTGCCTCAAGTGCATACCTGAAGGCAGGGCAGCAGCACTGACCTCATGGGGCGTCTCGAGGATTAAATGGGAGTTAGTCTACACAAAGCCCTCACACCTAATGGCACCTGGGAGGTCACACCAGCTTGTGCCAGTGCCTGAGACCACTGTGACCGAAACTCCAGGACCTCTGTGAAGAGCTTCACGCCTGTTTTCCCAGCTAGTCCTCAGGACAGCCTCAGGGGGGTGGCCCCCACAGTCCTGTCCTACGTGTCAGGGGCGTGAGGCTGAGAGGTGAAGCCCCCCATGGTAACATGGAGAAACCCTACCCAGCGCAGAAGCTGTGACCGCCACTCGTCACAGTCGTCCGCCAGGGCCCGGATCTCCACCCACAGAGCAGGGGTACACCAGGGGTCACTGTACCATGATCTCCATGGAGCTCCAGCGCGACGTGCCCCAGTACATGGCCATCCCCTGGTTGATGACGTGGGTCATGGCACGCACGGTCTCTGTCATGAGAGAAGGGGAAACTGCAGGTGTGGGGGGCGGCTGGGGGCACGGGGCCCAGCCCGGGGACGTTCTCCGAATACGGGCCAGGCGCCGGCAGCAGGGGCAGGGGGCTGCAAAGAGGTCTTGCAAGCAGTGTGCTTCCCGGCTCCTACTCAGGGTGGCAGGGGGTCTCCGGGACGACAGAAAAAAGTGAACCTCAATCCAGACGTTGGTCTTGGAAACGACCTCCCCTAATAGGTGCAGGTATTACGGAATCTTGGAAACCTGGGTGCTGTGTGGACTGGGGTGCTTCTGTGGCAGATGGGAGGGATGAGGGGAGGGGAGGCCACAGGCCACGACTCCAGAGTCTAGAAGCGGGGCGTTCTCTAGTCCGGGGAGGAGTCAGGGACCCCAGTCCTCGGGCAGGGCCAGGTAATGGATTCAGGTGACCTCAGAGTGGCAGAGGCGACAGGAAGTAAACGCAGTGTTTGCCTGTTTCGGTCTGCTACTTCGGGCTAACCCGACTCTCAGCGGGGTCCGGAGAGCCTGAGGGAGAGGTGACAATGGCTTCGGTAGGGACACAGGATGTGCCGTGGGGCCAGGGGGGGTCCCAGAGGTGAGGGCTGCGGGCTTCAGCTCCCCTTGCGTCGAGAAGAGCCAGAGGTGACGTGGACAGCCCCGTCTGGGCCAGGCCCGGGCTGGAGCCTGTCCCCCAACACAGGACAGCGGGGGTCTCCGGTGCGGGCCCCCAGCCTGCAGCAGGACGGCCAGTTTCCATGTTCTCCAGGGACAAACTGAACAGACACCGCGTAGCTGAGAACGAACTGCTGAAACCCTGGACCTTCCTTTCGAATGAGAGAGCAGGGACCCGCCCCCGCCTGCATCGTGAGTCCTCCTGCAACTCAGGAAAGGCTCTGAGAAATCTGGTCTAGGCTGTCTCAGCTCGTGGGGATGTTGTGATTTTAAAAGCAGAACCCGGCCTCATACATTTAAGTCCCCAGCGTGTCGGTGCACTGGGGTGAGGGCGGCGCCCCCAGGGTTTTACCAAGCCGCATACAGTGCTTGCAAGTCCGACTGCCCGAGGCAGAGCGGGAAGTGGAGGGGACGAACAAGTGTTTCTAAAACCAGGCATGACGCTGACCCTTGGCTGCGGTCCCCGCCTTCAGAAGGCTATGGTGGCCGGGGCTTCCAGGGTGGTGGTCTCAGTGGACTCGCCCAGGACCACTAAAAAACCATACCGGGGCTTCCACACCTTCAGGCCAGGCCCTGTCCTCCCTCCCTACCAAGGTCAAGGCCTGGGTTCCTCTTTGCCCATCCCAGGGAGGAGGGCTGGCTGGCAGGGGAGCACGCATTGGGCTACCCCGTTAACTGCTGACACTGGTCGATGTGAAGGACAGAAGTGTCTGGCCGGAGAGGCTTGCAGGTCCCAGGAAGGCACCTGCCCACATCCACACCCCGAGCCCAGGCGCCCAGCCTGGCTCCTCGTGCCAGGTCCTTCAGAAACACTTGGGGCACCTGCGACCATGCAGCGAAAGTGCCGATTCCTTTCAGCCAAGGCTCAGGCCCACATGCTGGAGCTGGGAAGCCGAGGACGCTCCTGCCCCCCCCCCTTCCCAGCCTGTCTCCCCGGCACGGCTGCCTGCCCCTTCACAAGGGGACCGCGCAGTGCAGTCCCTCCCATGCAGAGGGGAGTCCATCGGCACCTGGGGGTCAAGGCCATAGTGGCAGCCTGCGAGAGCCTGCGCTGGCCCCAGGGGGCAGGGGGCCGGGGCACAGGCTCCTGGGCTCCTGGAGGGTCCAGGGCAGTGGCCGGCCGGGTGTGGGGCCCACCCACAGCAGCATGGCACTCTGCCCTTCTGCCCAAGCATGATGTCGGTGGCCTCAGAAATGGACCCGTTCGACTCAATATTTAATGCCATTGGACAGAAGCAGGAGGGCCAAATCCTTGCAGCTGCCACCCAAACCCCTGGCATCTCCTGCTGTGTCACAAATAATACATGGGAGGGGTCAGGTGGCAGTGCCAGTTGGCAGGCGGGAGCCCTGCCACCGTGGAACACAGCCCAATCCCCGGGGAGACCAAGGCTGCCGTGGTGTGGGGACCTGGGGGAATCTTAGCTTAGGGGCAGGCAAAGGTCGCCCTGGGGTAGAGTTTCCTGACTCGTGTAGGTGTTCTTCAAGGGGGACAATGTTCCATTTCAGTGTGGGGGGAGGGTCAGGCCACACAGCCAGGGCCGGGAGTGGCAGCTGGCCCAGTGCGCCCAGGGTAAGGAGTGCCGCACCAGCCAGGGCGCTCCATAGGAGCCTGCGTGCTGTGCCAGGGGAGGCTCACCCCAGGGTTCCCTGCTGCTTCCGGCTGGGGCAGGAGCTTAGCGGACGTGAGCTACGGAGTAGACAAGATCCGCGCGTATTCTGGGGTCCCCGGTGTGTGTGCCCCGCTGGGAACCGGGCCTCCCCCAGCCCATCGAGGGTCAAGCTTTCAGGCCCTGACCGTAGCACGCCCAAATCACGAGGAAGCCCTGGCAGACGCTGGCTGCCCCAAGGATCGCGGCAAGGCCAGGCAGGGGTCGGGGGGTCGGGGGACATGCACAGAAGGACGGAGGAACGAAACGGCAGCGTGGCCTGGGGGGCCTTTCCCTGCACTGGCAAGGTGTTCCCAGAGGGCACTCGTGGTTCCCTGATGCATTTTATGGAGGGGTTCGTCAGCGGGGGGGGGGGGGAGTCGTGTAAATAAAACCCCTGTCTCATAAAATGCAGCTCAGACACAGGAGTCAATGGTCGGCCCAGGGCACGGTGTACCTTCTATGATGAATGTCCTGGACTTGGAGGAACTAAATGGGTCCCCTGGTGATAAAAGAAAGATTTAAAGAGACCAGAGTTTATAGCTGTGGGGACACGGAGAGGCGTGCTGTGACGCAGGGCACGGGAGGGAGGCACAAATCACTCTCGCCGAATGCTTGTTTAGTTTAAAAAAAAAAGCACTCGCAGACACACACACGCGCATGCGCATATATCAACAAAAGAAGGAAAAACGACTGAACATGACTGAATTTTTCCAAGTCCCTGCCACAGTAGAGCAGAAATGGGAAGACACTGGAAGCAGGAAGTTGGGGGGGGGGACAGGAGGGCGGAGAGTGCAGGGGCGGAAAGAATGAATAAGCGCCTAAGAAACCAAAACCGCTCTCAGAGCCCGTGCGGCATTTCTCCTCCCAGTTAGCAGAGCAAAGACCCCGAAGCTGCCCGGGAGGAGGACTGACAAGAAGGAAGCATCTGCAACGAGTCATCATGTTGTGACTCCATTTAGTTACAAAGTATTAACAGCTGAGAGAACGTTCTACGCAGCTCTAAACCAGGAGGGGCGGGGACCCAGGTGTGCGTCAGGTGTGGGCCCAGCTGTGCCAGGGTGCACCTGGGGAGGGCAGGGCGTCGGAGGCAGAGCTCAGGTCCCCCACAGCCCACTCCCCACCTCCCACCTGGCCTGGCCTCCTGGCCACTGGCCTGGGACCTGGGTGCCCAGCGGGCCTGTGCCCACGGCCCTCCGAGTCTCGGGTTCAGAACTTCCTGCCCGCGACAGAGAACCTACCTTCCATGGGCGTGTTGGGGTCCGGGCGGTTGGCAAACACCACGTCCACGTACTCGAGCTGCAGCCGCTCCAGTGAGGCCTTCAGACCTGGGGGTGGGGTTGGGAGGGGTGGTCACTGTCTTCTCAGACTTTTGGGGCCTCGCCTGAGCCAGAGATGAAAGGGATAAGGGGAAAGGTTTGGGGACACATGTGGGCCATTGCCACCCGGGATCGTGGAAAGCCAGGGCAGAATGTGGACACACCACCAACAGGGTTCGGCTGGGTCAGGAGGATGTGGAAGGTCTGCAGGCCAAATGTCCTGTGACTGAATGAAGGGGGACCCTCAGCTTCCTGGTGGCCCCACAGGGTAGCTGGGCAGGCTACCCTGCAGGGAGCGGGAGGGGCCCCTGAGGCCGGCCGATGGAGCCTGAAGCGCAGCTGTCGTGAGCCAGCACCTGGCCATGGCTCCTAGCGCAGCTGCAGAGTGGAGTGGGGGGGCTGCGGGGCGGCAAGGCCAGGACGGAAGTGAGGGTGGATGAGAAGAGCAGAGGCGCAGTGCCGAGGACATGGGGCCAGAGCGCTGGGTGTCGTCCCCCGGCCCGGGGCCCTGTGCCGTATCATCGGAAGGGGGTGGGCACCCTCATTTTGGCACCCAGAGGGGCCCCGTGGGTTTCGGACCCCTGACGTGCCGGAGCCCCTCACCTTCGATGATGTGCTTCCGGGAAAGGCCCCTCTCGGTCTCTGCTCTGAAAAACAGGCGACAGTGTGCGTGGCGTTGCGAGCGGTTTGGGGGACATGTTTCCGATGCACCCATCAGGCAAACAGAGCAGGTCAGCGCAGGCCCCGTGCACACGGGCTCCACCTCCGGGACAAGCGCACGAGTCCGCGGGGTTTGCTGCGGGGTGGCTGCAGGAGGCCCGGGCCACCCTGGGAGGAGGGCGGCTTCTGTGTGCAACCTGCTCTTCTGCTGGGCTCAGAGTTTTGGCAAAGATTAAGAAGGAATCACATTCACAGTTCCCAGGGCACTGGTTTTGTCCAGCCCCAGAGAGAACATGAACTAGACACCAGGGTTGGAGAGGGGTGTCTGTGGTCCAGGGACCTGCAGTGAGCGGTATGGGCGGTTCACAGATTTTCTGTGTTTTCCAGAAATTTTGGAATATTACCTTTGTAGTTAAAAAAACAAAAAACATCCATGAAGTTAAAAAATTAAGCAAGGTTTGAATAAAAGACAGAAGCAGCCGATGCCACTTTTCTGGAACTTGACGTCCCTTCCTAGGGATGGCGCCAGCCAGGGCAGAGGCTGCACGAAGGCCAGCCCACCGGCTTTGGGCACCGGGGACGAGACAGAATGGGGCCCATCCTCCCGGGGTGCCCGGCCGTCCGGGAGGAAGATGCCCCCACTCCCCAGCCTCCTCAGTCAGGAGCCTGGGTGGGTTTGGGGCTGCCATTGCCGAGGCAACACCTACTTTCCTCCCCAGAAGATCTTGGTGGTGATGACGAGGCTGGAGCGTCTGTAAACACAGGGGAAGGAGGCGTGTTACTGGGCCTAGTCCCTCCCGGGGTCCTCCCACCCCGACGGTCTTCAGCTCTCACATAGGCGTCTGAGCACCCCTTTTATCCGGGACCCCCGGTGTGAAATGGGGCACTCTCTGTCACTCCGTGTTCTCGGTGGGCCACCATGGACTCTGGGGCTCCCCGCGGCATCAGGACACAGCCCACAGGTGCCACTCCCTAACCATGCAACTGAAAAGTCAGGTGTGGGGCCCGAGGGAGACGTGTGTGCCCCTCACGGAGCCCCTTCCCTCCCTCCAGCTCCTCGGGCCCTTCCCTGGGGGTGCGTCTGGGCCCCGGCCACAGACACGGCAGACATTACCTCCATCCCTTCTTCTTGATGATGTCTCCTAAAACCACTTCTGCCCTGCGAGAAAGACAGGGCATGGAGACGTCATTCCAGCCCGCCCCAGCGTGACAGCCGGCCCCTCGGTCCCCTCTGGGGCCAGACACCCAGGCTGTTCGTGCCCACGTTTGCTCGGGCAGCCCGTGCAGAGAAGAGCCCCCGAGAAGGTGGCTGTGGCACATGTCCACGCGCTGTCTGAGCACCCCATTCCCGGCCCCCTGGAGGTCCACCGGGAAGACGCTTGGCAGCGCTACATGGGCGGTTTCTGGATAAAAAATGTTTTTTAGAAGATAAATTATTCATCTGCTTTCAGAGACAACGACTCGTACTCAGGGCCAGGGCTGGGTCTCCAGCAGGATGCTCCAGGGCATGCGTGTGTGCATGCGTGTGTGTGTTTGGGGGAGCTGGTCCTCGTTTCTTGCTTTTGAACAGGGGGAGACAGACGCCCCGCCGACCGCTGTCTGTGCCGTTTGGCATCACGTGGGGCCCCACGCCCAACTCGGGCCAGCCGGCGTCCCAGGCACTGCTCCAGCCCTGCTTGGTACTGCAGTGATGGACCTTTAAATTTTTAACTTTGAAGAACTTTTTGCTTGTAGCAAATGTTTCTGAGCACAAACAACCGAGGGAGCCTGATCCATACCCAGGGCTGCCTTCCAACTCTAAAAGCGCCTGAGTCATCCACTCGGAGATAATGGCTCTAGTCGGCAAGCGGTTTGGCACAGGCTCCGAAAGTTCTTTTGTTTATGGTCCACGCACACAGAGATGCACCTGCCCTGCTCCTTTGTTCCTCGGTCCCTCATGCGGGGGACAAAGGGTCAGGAGGGGAGAGAGAAAAGCAAGCTGCGGTCCTGGGGTGCAGGAGAGCAGACAGACAACCAAAGCCTGCTGCTTGCGTGGTATGGTTGGCACCGCCCAGCAGGGCACAGAAATCCTCCAGCCCTTTGGGAAGCGCCCAATTTAGTGTCAGCATGACAAGCAGGGGGACTCAGCATGCTCTGCAAATGGCACTGTGGTTAGCGAGAGGGACAGTGCCTGGCACAGCGCCTGGCTTCCCTGTGTGGGTGGCCGAGGGCGCTGAGGCATTGATGGGGGTGAGCAGGCGGGTTCAGAGGCCATTGCAGCGGAGGGCTCCAGGGGCCACGACCACCCACAGGAAGCTGCTCCCCGAGTCCTTAGCTTCTCCCAAGGGGCTTCGGAGAGGCAGGACCCAGTGTGCTTGTCCCCACCCTGGGTGCCCCTTAACGGGGGCGGGGGGAGTGAAGACAGTAACACAGTGATGCTGTTGTGGAATGCTGTGTGCCGGCCCGACGCAGGGGCTGGGCGGTCTGCAGCTGCCGGAGGCGGCCCCGAACTGCCCCTGGCATGCCCTCGTGGGCGGCCAAATCGCAGGAGTGGGGCGGGAACCGGCCAGGGTGCTGAGGATAGGGCAGGGCTGTGGGCGTGGCTCCCAAGTTGGCCTTCACCTCTGACCCTTCGGTGTTGCTCCTCCGCCTGGAAAGTATTTCTCTTGATGGGAAGCGGCTGCCAGTTTGGAGGGGCTGTGGTGTCAGGAGGGGCAGTGAGCTGCTACTGAGGGTTGGGGGGGCTTGGGGGTCCCAGTGGAGGCTCCCAGGACTGTCAGATTCTCAGACCCTGGGTCAGCACTGGAGCTTTGGGCCCCATTACGGATGGCAGGCAAGTAAGCAGGAGCAGAGGGAGGCAGGTGCAGCCAGCCAGCCAGCGGATGGGAACGCGGCTGGCCCCAGGCAGGAGGGACCAGAAGGAGCAGGGAAGAGGGCCAACAGATGACTTCACAAACAAAAGCTGACTTTTGGAAACCCGACACAGGAGAGTGGATGATTTGATTACAGTCGGTCTTTAAAGCTGAAGCCAGCAGCCTTGGCAGAAGAGGGCTTCTACATAATTGAGGAGAGAAGTTCACTGCCAAGGCGGGAAGTGCTTCCTGCTGTGCTCGGCTGGCCAGATCCCACTCTCCCCGGTCCAGAGGCCCTGATTCCCCACAGCCCTCACTGCACCAGCGAGACAGGAAGACATCGGTAGGCGGGGCTCCGATGCCGATGCAGGTCACGGGCTCAGCAGGAGAGCCTGGGGCAGCTTCATCTTGGCCCTCACCTAGCACAGCATCTTTGGCACAGAGGGATTTAGGCCACCTCCGTGTGGGGACACGTGGGGCATTTAGCAAGTGACCAGTGTCCAAATGTTTTGAGATTCTGGCCCATGCAAACAACACGTCCTGGAGCTACTTAGAGCTTAGACAAGCACACAGGGCGGGAGGCACATGCGTGAACCCTCTCGGGACGAAGGGCGCAGGCAGCAGAGCTCCGGCTCTGCCCGGGGAGCCGTGGCTGCGCCACTGTGACCGTGACAAAAGACACGTACTTGCCAGCTGCGTAGACTTCTGCTGTGTCGAAGAGGTTGATGCCGTTGTCGTAGGCCAAGGTCATGAGCTGCTCTGCCATCTGAAACGAGAAACCAGGGCTGCTCTCGGGTGGCACTGTCCTGGCAGCCGGGAAGCACCAAGAGGTTCAGGCCCTGCCCCGGGTCCCATCCTCTCCCCCGGAGGGATGGGCGCAGAGGCCATGCCCAGTAGTGGACCCCTAGAGAAGAAAGATGATGAATGAAGAGGCAGCTATGGGTTGTGACCTCCTTTGAGCAGGGACCCCTCTGTTGGGGCATCACAGGGCTTTGCACCTCTACTGGACTGAATAGTGTCCCTTCAAGCTCATGTCCACCCAGGACCTCAGCCTGTGACGTTAGGTGGACAGGGGGTCTTTGCAGATACAGTTAGTTAAATTAAGATGAGGTCACAATGCACGAGTGGACCCTGAATCCAGTCCGAGGGTGTCGTTGTACAAAGTCGTACACTCTCACAGGGAAGAGGCCACGTAGAGGCCAGGGAGGTACCAGGGTGCTGTGTCCTCCAAGGCCAAGGGTTGCCCAGGATGGCCAGCAGCCCCCAGAAGGACTGGGCAAGCAGGATGGGACCAGCCCCTTTGGAGCCTGGGCCGCAGTTCAGCCTTGCCAACACCTTGATCTTGAATTTCTGGCCTCGGCACTGAGAGGATGAACTTCTGTTGTTTTAATCCACTCCGTCTGTGGGGCTTTGGGACTGCAGACCGAGGACATCCACAGCCTATCACAGGAGTGCTGCAGACCTTGGCGGGACAGCTATTGTTCGAGCTACAGATAGAACAATGCGTCCTGTGGTCCTCGGTCCACACAGCCCTTCCCAGAAACTCCATGAGCGTGATGTTATCACTGTTTGCAGGCAGAGGAACTCCGTCTGCAGCTGGCATGCGGGCCTGGCCCGTGTCTCTCTGATTCTTGCAGGCAGGGCCTGGTGAATGGCCACTGACCGGGGGCAAGGATCAAGGAGCAGGGTGGTGGTTGGGGGGGGGGAACCTGCCTGCAATTGACAGCTCCCATCCCCCAGGAGAGAAGGGGCTCTGGACTCTGATTTTGCTCTGGATGGGGCAGATGTCCTGAGGGCCACAGATGCAAACTCCACCCCCCTGCTTCTCACAGCTCAGCTCAGAGCATCAAGCAAGCCCAGGGTGGGGTGAATAACACTTAAGCCCTCAAAAACTGCAGGACAGGAAGCCAGCTGGGCGAGGCTTCTGGGAGCTTCTCCCAGTACCACACTCAGAAGCCCCACCTGCCAGGCAGGTATAGAGAGTGAAGCTGGAGGCCGGTGTTGATCCCTGGGGCTGGGGGCTCAGTCACTGTCCCTGGGAAGGTGGCCCGGTACAAGCAGATCCCTTGGTTTTTCAAGCGAAGCCAAAATTCTGGGGTATTTTGGTGGCAGAATTTCTGATTTTCCAAAGTTGACAATGAGCCCTGAAGATTCTGGTACCAGGCAGGCCAAAGCTCACCCCCAATCTAAGCGGGAAAGCTCAGGGCATGTTAACGCCAACGGTGAGAAGTTTTCTGGAAACCACGTGCTGCTGAATAGCAGAAGCCAGGTCTGGGCAGCCACCAGCTGACCACATGGGGCTCCGTGAGCAGGCAGGTCAGCAGGCGGCCACGGAGGACGCCCGCCTCCTCTCACCTGCCCAGAAGGACGTGTGCAGGACCCTCGGATGCTGACGGATGGAAGGAGGAGGAGGGGCCCTGGGAGTTTTGGGGGCTGTGTCCTCTTCCTTTCCTTTCTCCGCTGTGATTGGGGCGTGCTTCCTCCTCTGGGGCTGCCGTGGGGACGCAAACTCTCCCCGGGGTGGCAGCCCCATCACATAGTCCCCAGGCTCCACGCTCTCTCACGGGCCTTCCCTCCGTGGTCGTTCAGACTCAACTTCCGCACACGTCTGCTCCCAGGGTGCAGTCTGTGTTTGTTTTGGAGCCTGTGTTTTGTGGCCAGTCCATTACTTCCGACGTCAGAGTCCCAGGAACTGGAGGCAGAAGGCGCTTCAGGAGCGATGGGGCCCCCTCACTGTCGTCACCACTGGGGGCCCAGGACTCCTATCTGCCCTGGTGCGGCTACCCCAGATCCCAGGCTGGAGGCCAGAGCTCTGTCCCCGAGGCCCCGAGTTCTTGAGGAGGGAATGAGGACAACCCCCCCCCTGGGCTGGTGGAGGGCTGAGTGTGATGATGATCAGTGTAAATTCTTGGCTCTGGATGGGGCGGGGGAGGGGCGAGGTTCTACCTGAGCAGCAGTGTGAGGTCACCGCAGGGGCAGTGGACCTGAGGCTGGAAACCTGACCTTGGCCACGGGACCTGAGCTTCGCTGACTGTCCGCCTCCTCTGCGGCGGGGTCCTCTGTGTCCAGCCCGTGGGGGCCTCCTTGCCTGGGATGACGGCCCCCCAGATGAGGGATGCTGTGACCCCACAGGACAGGGGAAGGAAGGCCTTTTCTCTTGGGGGCCGGAGAGTGAATATTCTAAGCTTTGTGGGCCAGATGGTCTCTGTGGCAGGCACTCAACTCGGCCCTGTCTCGTGAAAGAGCCACCGACACTGTGCGGGTGAGTGGGCGTGGCCGCTAAGACTTTACGGAAATGGGCTGTGGAATTCACAGCGACGGCGAGTCGGTCAGAGGTTCCGAGGGCTGGGGAGTTACCGAGTCCTGGGTTCAGAGCTTCTGTTTGGGGTGATCTGGGATAATCCGGGAGAAGGCCAGTGGTGAGGGTTGCTTAGCACAGACGATGTACTTAATGCCATTGAACGACACATACGCTTAACGACTGACGTGCTAGACTTTGTTATGCATATTTTTAACCGCACCAAAAAAATGGCCAAAATGGCAAATTTTATGTTTCATGCATTTCCTAAAAAAAGAAGAGGCTAAGAACATAAAAATAGCTGGGGGCTAGATTTGGCCCTCGGACCATCTCTGGCTGACGTAAGTGGAGTCCAGCCGCGGAACGCTCGTTTTCGACCAGTTTCTCGTTTCTGGACCTCCCTGGCACCTGGGCGCGGTGCCCGGCACACAGCAGGATCCTGTGCCTTCCTTCCACGGGGCCCATCGGGAATGCCCTTTGGGCAGAGGCCTCCAGGGGTTGGGGAGCCCACAGCTTCCTCCACAGCCTGGGGGGGGCCCTGCCTACTTGGAACACCCACCCGCTGGCTCAGCCCTGGCAGGCAGCCGCTGAAGCCCCACACTGGGCATTTCTCATTGGAAGGTGGCGAGGCAGGCCCCTTGTGTTTGACATATTGATTTTTCTGGACACTAACTGCAAGATTTAACACAGAAGTGCTGCTTGCTCCCACGCTTAATCATTGTCGCCGGCCAGGACCCTTGGGGACCCTGAATCTGTCATCTATTACATCCGCTGTCCGCCCAGCTTTTTGTCATCTGGACACGACTTCCAGTAGCGTCACACATGTCACTATGTCCCCGATGGAGGCGTGGCAGAGCAGCCGGGGCTGCCATCGGATGGTTAGTCAGTCCTCTCTGGGCTCGAGTATCTGTTGGTGAAAAAGTCACCTAGGTGGACGGTCACCACCAGCCACTGCTCTCTAGCTTCCCCACAGGGACCTGCCAGGCAGAGTGGCTCACACACGTGGAGATGAAGTCACCCCTCCCACAGCTCTTCCACCTGTGATGTCAGCAGCCCTGTCGAAGGGACAGGGGCAAGGCAGACAGGACTTGTTCCGGGGCCCGTGTGGGCTCTGGGGCTCCAGCTCCTCGTCTAAGTGCTCAGAACCAGCTGTGGTGACCGGAGGAGACAGCCCCCTGTGCCGCAGTGACTCCCACCTTCACCCCGAGATCACCCAGACCCAGACCCTCCCAGCGAGGGCAAAGGGCTCTCGAACCCACTGCTGCCCTAACAAGAAAGGGGAACGAAAACACAAATTAGAGGCAACTAGATTTTGACGGAAGCACAGATTTTGCTGTGAAACCTAACCCAGCGATCGCAGCTGGGTCTCCCGTGAAGCCACGTATTCATTTTGAAACGCAATCTTTCTGATGGTTAGTAGGGCAGATGGGAGGAGCTCGTGCAGGCGGCCGGAGCTCTACACCCACTCACTGTCCCCAAGTGCACAGCAGCCTGGGAACGTGGGGCCCCCTCCAGGACGGGCCCGGAGATGCTGGTGGTGCAGCGTCCCTGCAAGTACGTGAGCATGTGCAAGTACCCATGTGTGTGCAAGTACGGCAAGTGCCTGCTGGGCGCACAGCTGGCGGTGGCTGCGGGAACCGTGGAACAGGAGCCCCGTGGAGCGGAGACCAGCAGAGCCTGCGTCTCAGACACCTCAGCAGGCAGACACACGCTGAGGCTCCAGATTCACTCTGTGGGAGCAGCTTAGGACCTCGTTGGGCTTTGCACTTTGGAAAACCTGCACTCCCTGAGTTTTCCCGGCATGCAGCAGATGAGGAGGCAGGGTTTCTGGCACTTTAAAGTACTTGGAGAAGCCCCAAGCCATGCCCAGCTGCTAAGGGTGGCGTCTCGGCTGCAGCTCACCCTTCCCACTCAAGGCGGGGACAGGCCAGGGCACCCTGGGGAAACAGCCGGGAGCCTTGGCTTGGGGAAGCACCGTGTGGCTGGTGTCTTGAATGAACTTTACCGCCTGTCTGGAGGGGCCACCCTGGCCGGGGCCTGGGGCCCCGTCTTACCTCGTCAGTGATCTGGCCTCCAAAGGTCACCCATGTTCCTGGAAGGAGACACACAGCTCAAGTCAGAGAACTGCCCCAGGGGGCCTGACCCGCCCCTCCCTGGGGTGCTGGGCCTGAGGCTGCGGGGCGCCGAGCAGGAGCATCTGCCTGAAATAGAGTGAGGATGGGCAGGCCCTCTCTCTCGATGGTGGTGTGTGTGTGTGTTGGGGCGCACAGTGTGCACCGTGCATGGAACCGTAGGGTCATCGTGACCCAGGAACGGGGCTCACATCTTGAGAAAGGGAAGAGGCTGTATCTCCTCCACCCACTTCCCTCTCCTAGGCACCCCTCCTGTTACCATGGTCACAGGCCCCACTGATCCTGGCTCTGGGGACAGCCCCCTCCCCACCCCACTCCCCAGGCCTTCCACAGCCCCTGCTTCCCTGGGTTTCTCTGGACCACGGGGCCCCCACACTCACCGAGCCCCAGGCAGGAGACCCGCAGGCCGGACTTCCCCAGGTTCCTGTAAAGTGAGCACTCTGTGAGTTCTCCGTGGTCAGCATGGACCTACCGGCCGGGCTCGGCCCCCACGGTTCCCAAGGCCAGCTCCGGGAGCCGCGCCCCTCACCCCAAGCCAATGCTGTTTCGAGGCCCTGAAGGTGAGGGGGGCCTTCAGAGAAGCCTGCAGCTCGCTTGCCCCAGAAGTAGGGGCGACTGCCGCCCCTCCCCACACACCTGGGCTCAGCCACGGTGCTGGGGGCCAGGTGGGGCCACCTCAGAGGGAGTAGCCGTTTCCCGGCTGAAACGAGACTGGTTCAAACTCGTGGTATGGGCTGTGGGCGTCCTGACCACTCCCCTCATTCAGTTTCTTGTCACCTGTGATTTTGAGCATTTTGCCTCCTGGTCTCGGAGCAGCGGAGCAGAGGTTGGCCCCACGTCACGGGCCACGTAGCCCAGGGGCCTGTCCCTCTGTGCTAGGAGCGGGGTGGGGGCTCCATGGTGGGTGCCGGTTCCTGTGCTGAGCCCCAGCCTCTGTGTGACCCCCAGCCAGGGCCACTGAAGGGACAAGGTCCAGACACCCCAGCGGCCAGGGGACTTTCCCCAAAGGAGGACGCATCGCGGCTGGTTTCTCTCTTGGGGAGGCAGGTGGACCGGGCCGAGGCCCTGAGGCCAGAGCTGGTTTCAAACCCGCCAAGTACCTCTGGGCCTGCCAGGTGCCCCCTGGTGCCCGCCCTGGGGTGGGTGCCTCTCAGCGACGTGCGGTGAGGCAGCGCAGGTGCCTGGGGCAGGCACTGGCTCTGCAGGTGCCATTTCCAAGGCAGACAGCACAGAACGAGGGACGGCGGCCTCACACGGAAACGACAGACAAACCAGACAGGCTCTAACTGGGAGGGGCTCACGAGCGATGGTAGTGTCCCGTTGTCTTTCCCCTTGTAAATCAGTGAAATGACCTAATGGTGCCTCAGTGTGGCTTGGACGGTCCCACCCAGGACAGCCTGCGTCTGTGACTGCCGGACGGAGAGCCTGGGCCTCATCACCGGCACACTCGATCGCGCCAGGTGTGTTCACAGCTGCGGGAACTCCCCGCGGCAGCTGGACAGTCCCGGGGCTGAGGCGTCAGAACCTTGCTTGTAAGCGGTCTGCTAACGGGGCGGAGAGAACGGGGAGGTTCCCCTCGGCGGTTCCCAACAGTGTGGGGGTCGCAGACCCCTCAGAGAAAGCCCTTCCCTGGACGTTCTTTTCGATGCCCCAGTGTTCACGAAGCCCGGGGCTCCTGGTCTAGACAAATCCAGGTGCTGGACTGGGACTTCGAGCCAGAACCTGGGGCTCGAAGCAGCTTTCTGGGGACGAGCAGCTTTAGCAACAGACAGGTGAGGACACAGGACAGGGGCTGAGCCCACCTGGCCTCTCGCCCACCAGCTGGGCTGAGTTTCTCCCCCCCTACACCCTGCAGGCCGGGGCAGCACCCAGCGCCGTGGCCCCCCCGCTGCTCCTCCACCCGCTGCCCCTGGGGACGACACAGAAAAACGAGGGTGCCGTGTATGCCACAATTATCCCACGCAGGTTTTCCCCACTAACATGATGGTATTTGCTCTGCCATCTGCTGCCGCCAGGCCCGGGGAGAAGAAATGCGAAGGGACAGGGTGTCTCTGGGCGGCAAGCTCACTGCCCCGTGGGGGCGGGGCTCTCGTCCAGTCGCAGCCCCATCTGGCCCAGGGCTGGAGAGACGCGGCTGCTGAGGACTTTCAGGACCGAAACGTCATTTCCTACAGATTTTTCTCCCCTAGTTAGGACTTGACGCAACGAAAAAGTCCTTGGCTATGTCTCTAAACCCCAATAATGTCAGTCTTCGTGAATGCAGCTCTCCTGCGGTCTGTGAAGGTGGGAAGGAGGGCCCGTGGACTTCGCCTTGCAGGGAAAAGCGTGAGGGCCTGCTGCTGGACACCCCAGCGCCGCTACACACGCCCCCGAGACTCTGGGCAGGTGCAGACCCTTCGGCCGTCTGGGCCGAGGACCGACACTGGGTCAGGTGACGGAAATCGGCGTGGCTTTGATGAGCTGGGTTGATGAAGTGAGCAGGATGTTTCCCGCTCCAGGTGGGCTGGCCGCCCGTTACCAGGTAGGCCGGTTCTCAGACTCCAGGCTCCCGGAGGCTGGGCCTGGGTCTCGGGGTCTTCTTCGGATGGCAGCGGTCTGGGGCGGGGCTCCAGGAGTTTAACGAAGGATGGCTCCTCCCCTCACCGACCACCTTGGCCTCCCGCACCCTTCGCCCTGAGCCTGTCTCGGGCCCTCTGGCAAGAATGTGATCCCGGGTGCTGGTCACACACCTTCGGCTCCCTTATACTGACAGGTGTGGCGGAGGCCTGGCTGTGGGTCACAGCACCAGGAAGGGCCAGCATCCTGAGGAGAGGGCAGAGTGGGGGTAGATTTGGGCCAGCCCCCTACAGGCCTGCCTGCACCCTGGCTGGGGCCCTGGGACAATGACTGGGGAGCAGTGGTCGTGAGGCAGGAAACAGTTTCCTGACAAACCCGGGAGCCAGGGGCCCGGCCCAGCTTTTCCAGCGTGGGCAGATGGTTTGCTGTGAAGAGCCCCTTTTCCCCAGAAACACCGTTCTCGAAGCAACAAGGGCTGTGGGCACAGGAAGACCCTGGGGAGTAAGGAAAGCCAGACTCCCAGCAGGGCGCCCCGTGACCCTGCCCCCAGTGGCCCTTCATACAAGGCTGGACCCCCGTTTCCACCAGCCCAACCCACTGAGCATCTGGGCGGGGCCCAGGGTGGAGATGCAAGGGACAGCAGGGGGTCCCTGCCCCCTGCCCCTCTCTCCACGTGCAAGACACAGTGAGATGCCCTGGTGCCCTGAGCCCAAGTGCAGGGACGCGTGACAGCCTGTGTCATCCTCACGTGTAGCTGAGCATCGGCGGGACGCTCCAGGGACAGCTCTGGGCCCCACAGGAGCCTGGCCTGGGGTCTGGCTTGGGCTAGAGGGGAAGGTGAATGCCGTCCACGGTTCACCCTGCAGCCTCGCTGCGAAGACATCCGACCACCCTCGGGGCAGCTTCTGGGGCCCTGTGCGCCCAGGGGGAGGGCAGGGGCCTGTGGCCAGTTCCCGGGGTTCCCGGGAAGAGGAGGCACCCCAGAGCCGATGTCGGGGGCTTGGCTCTTGTAACCCCCCACCCCAAACAGAAACAAACAGGCAGAAGGAGGGGAAGCCATCACATCCTTTCTCCCTCTGCCTGCAGTCTCGAAGAAACTTGGGGTGACCCCGAGCCTCGATTTTAGCTCTCGCCCTGCCTGCCGAGGCTAGAAAAAGCCCCTTCCTGCCTTGCAGCTCAAAAACTGCCCAAGCCCAAAGGGATCTGCAGGTTTTACAGGCTTCCGGGAGGGGGAGGGGAAAGGCAACCCCCCGCCCAGCAAAGCCGTCTAAGCCTCCTACCTATATTTCATCCCCTGCTGCTTCACGCTGGCGTCACCGGCGCTCGGGTGGCTCTGCACCGACAGCTGTCCCAGGCTCCGGGCCACCATGGCCACAGCGCGGAAGCGGCCGCGGGTGCCCAGGCTGGGGCTGCCGGCAGACGGCCGGCCTAGCCGCTCGTCGGGGCCCCGGGCCTTGAGGCCGTGCTCGGAGCACGCGAAGGACACCTGCATGCTGCGTGGGGGGCTGACCGGCACTCGGCTTCCGGGCTGGGGCCCCCTCCTCCGGGCTCCGCAGTCATCTGCCCCTTTCCCGCCCGCCCGACAGGACTGTATCCCAGAAGGCGGAAGGGCTGCGAGGTCTTCCTTCAGGAGACTGGGCTTCTAAAGCCAACGACGGAGAAAAGCCGTTGCAGCCTCTCGGGCGAGAGAATCGAATTTCCAGAAACGTGCTGGAGGAGATTGCCTCAGAGGGAACTCGGCAAGTGCTGCTCTCTGCCCCCTCTCACCCCTTCCTCGTGTCTGGGGTCCCTCCACTGCCCCCAACTGGTCTGGCTCTGGCTGCCGGCCCCCAGCAGTGTCCAGCAGGGCTGGGCTGCCCCTGACTCCTGACCAATGAGCGACATGGTGGCCTCTGACGGGAGAAGGAGGGAGGGCCCGGGGTTTTGGGGAGCAGCTGCTCTTCCAGGCTTCCCTGGGTCTCTCGGAGGCTGCCTGGTTTGGCCTCCTGGGGCTGTGCACCGTGGGCTGCTGGGTCTCCCACCGGGTCAGTGAGGTGACTGATGGGAGGCTCAGGGGGCGCCCGGTGAGTCATTAACGAGGTGGTTTGCACAAGCCGCTGCCCTGGCGGGTCACCGGGGGTGGCACCGGCTGCTCGGTCAGGACACAGAGCTGCCGGTGGCCATGAACGGCTGGGCTCCCAGGCTGTGGCTCTGGCTGGCCCCACCTGCTTGTGGGTCTTGCCCAGGAAAATGCGGCTTCCACTGGGGCTTGGCACAAGGAGAAGCCAGAGTGTCGGAGGAAGGGCCACTCTGTCTAAATGACAGTGACTCGGGGGTCAGGGACCAGAGACCTGAGAAGTTCTAGCACTTACACAGGACTCAGCTTGCCACAGGTGCTCAACGAATACTTCTAGAATGAACGAACCAGTGAACAAAGACCCTCTACTCCACACTCCTTTCCCCCACTCGTGGCTCATGGGGTTTTCTGAAACCCAGAGAGAAGTCCGAGTTGGCAGGAAGGGCTTGGCTCTCCGGCCCCCAGGGCAACACTCTTGCCCTCCAGGGCGGGCCCTTGCCAAAGCTGACTGCCCCCTGGGGGGCAGGGCTGCCAGGCAGACGGGGTGGGCAGGGGGTTTGTGAGGGCTTCCCAGAGTTTGTCACTTTCCATTCGCCTGAAACCGGGGTCACGATTCCCGACACTCTTAGAAAGTCACAAGAATTAACAGGGGTGGAAAGCAGAAAGTTGAACCCCTTGACTTGAACTTGCCACAGTGAAATGTCACCCCTAGAATTCTAGTCTCCCCTTTGACGTGTGTTCAGGTGGAGAGGGGGGCGAGTCCTGGCTGGAAATGGGCCTCAGGCGGAAGCACTGAGCGTGGGTGTTCGGTTTTAACCTACAGCCGATTTCTGGGTTCTTTTCCTGCCCCACTGGGACCTGCTATTGTTAAAGCAAAGCAGCCAGTTGCTGCTGTGATTCATCAGAGGCGCAGCCACCACACTTAGAAGCTCTGTGTCCTCGAAACGCCACTAAAGTCAGCCTCCTGGAACACAAGCTTCTGCCTCAGCTCCCTGGGACCCCCACCCCCAGGCGACCAGGACGGCACGCTGAGAGGGAAAGCCGAGGTGAGGGCAGGCTCACAGCAGGAGGGGACGGACACCCTCGCTGCACAGACTGTGCCGATCAAGAGTGAGGATGTGCGGCTGTGCCTGGCAGGGCCGGTGCCCCGCTGCACCAGCAAGGCCGCCCTGACCGTGCTGAATGGCAGATGGTTTGCACCCAAAGCTGCCCTTCTGCAGAGGAGGAGGGGTGGATGCTGACAAGTCGGGGGCTGTCCCAAGCAGCACTGGCCTGGGAGGCCCTTGGCCCCTGACGTTTCTAAGAGCAGAGGGCGGCAGACTGGCGGACTTACTGGAGGAGGTGCCGTCTGGTGGGTAAGAGTGGAAGGGAGACACCTCAGGGCTGCGGGCTGTGGCTTCCTCTAGCCCACACCCCAGTCAGGTCCAGTGCCACCAGCCTGAAAAGGCGATGGTGGCCTTATTTGGAATGGGGGTCTTAGCAGATGGCCATAATGCCATGACTGGTGTCCCTGCAGAGAGAGACCCAGGGACAGACCTGCACAAGAGGGAAGCGGCCATGTGAAGTTGGAGGCAGAGGCCGGAGGGGCGCGTGTGGAAGACGAGGAACACCAGGGACCACCGGTGCCCACCAGCAGCTGGGAGCGCCTTCGGGGGGGACTAGGCCCTGCCTGCGCCTGGGTTTCAGACCTCTGGCCTCTGGACAGTAGAGAATACCCTGATGTCGTCTTAAGTCACTGTCCACGTAGCCCTTTATTACAGCTGCCCAGGGCTGCTCAGGGCCATGGGCCCAGGCTCACAGGACTTAGAATGTTCCGGGTGCTGGGAACAGACCAGGGCCCTGCTCTCAGTGGGGTGCAAAAGGACAAAAGACAAGGGGAGAGAGATGGTGGTAGGGGTGTGGCGGCCCATGAGTCAGGACAGTGGGTGTGGAATGGCTCTCTGGGCATTTATGTGGCGCAGGTGGTCGGGAAAGTGTCTTCAAAGACGGAGGTGCCACTGGCAGGGGTGAGCAGCCATGCGGACATCCAGGCAGAGGGAGCAGAGTGGGTGACGGGCCTGAGGACGGAATGGGCTGGAGCTCCTGGGGAGGAGGGAGGGGGTCCCGGCTGGAATCGGAGGCGGATGTGGGCCAGGCAGGGCCTCGCGGGGAGCAGGGGAGGGACAAGGTCTGGTGTCTGCAGGTCCCTGCCTCCAGCCACCATCTGAGGCCACGACTCTGGGCTCTCCATCACTAGGGGCAGGTGGGGGGCACAGGGCGGGGCAGCTTCCACGGGGGCCGTGTGGGTTTAAGTATTCAGTGCATTTATTTTAAACAGCAAGGCTTGGGGACGGTTAAAAAATGGGGGGCAGTAACAAAAAAGCTTTTCCCGGCTGTGGGGCTCCGGTCAGCTGATAAAGCAAGCACCGGGGCCCGCGGTGTCTCCCTGCTCTGCCAAGCCACACTTGTCTAGAGGTGCTGTCTTTGTTACATTTAAGAGCAAGTTCAACTGAGTCCTGGCCCAGTCGCTGACAGGGACTGGCAACTGTGGGACGGCTTTTATCTGGGATCTTTAATAACAGGGGGGCTGCCCTGTTTCCAGATAACCAACCCCCCTGCTGCAGCAAGGTGGAGTCTGCCTGAGAGAGATGGGCTCCCCCTGCAAACCCGAGGGATAAGTTTCGGCTTGACCAGCACTAAACGCGGGCGGTGCTCGGGTTAGCGCTGCACCCCCGCAGCAGCTCCCCCAGGGCCTTTGGTACCCCCCCCCCCGGGAGTTCCACCTGCTCCGGATGCGGCAGATTGTCCTCGGGGTGCTGGGCAAGTAGCAGGTTTGTCCCCATCCCCCATGTTAGTTTCTGGGGGCTCCTATGACCACGGGCTGCCAGCCAGGGGTGCTTCAAACAGCAGAAGTGGGTTCTCTCCCAGTTCTGGAGGCCGGAAGTCTGCAATCGGGGTGTGGCAGGGTCGAGCTCTCTCTGAGGGCTCTGGGGGAAGGCTCCTTCCGCCGCTCCCAGCTCCAGGGTCATGTCACTCCAGCCTCCCCCTCCACCGTCACATGGCCTCTTCCCTGTGTGTCCCCACATGACTTTCTTATAAGGACACAGGTCCCTGGGACCTAGGGCCCACCCATCTCCAGAATGACCTCGTCCCAAGTCATTGCATCCACAACGGTCCCGTTTCCCAATATGCCACAGTCTGCTGGGCAGACATGAAATTTCGGGGGACAAGATCCACTTCAGGGCGCCCATGATCACAGGTTGTGTCTACAGGGGGGGAGCTGGGGTCTCCCAGGGGGCGAGGGATGAGCTCTGGCTGCCCTGCGCGGTCCCGACTGCCCCCGCTCTCTCCTTGCGGCCCAACCCCGGGCCTTCTCTTCCTTCCTGAGTCATGACCCTGTCCTTTGGCCTGGAAAGTTCTTCCCCACATGTTCAAATGTCCCCCTTTAGATGGTGCGGGTCCCAGCTGCCCCTGGCCTCCCTGTCACCTGCTTCTTTCTGCCTACCCCCTCCCCACCCAGGATGTTCTTGAGGCCTCTGGCTGGCACTCTGGAGCCAGGGAGACCTTCTGTAAACATTTTCTGAATTAATGAAAAGCCTCGATGCCTAGCCAAAGGCAGAAAGCCTCGGAGTCTCACCCTGCCCCCCACCCCCCTTGAGAAGTCCCCACCAGGCTAGGAACGCCCTGCAGCCTGGCCAGGTGACCCTTGGTCCCTCCCTCGCAGCCGGATTCGGAGCACAAAGCCTTTAGAATCCTGCCACCTAACGGGCTCCTTGTGGAAGTGTTTCCATTTCTTTAAACCACAGCCGAGTGCTCAGACGCTGAGCCGAAGGCCCAGACACTTTGTCCCCAGGAGATTGTATGATGGTCCACAGCCAGTCCGTGCTCCACTCTGCACAGACCAGCCAGGTAACTAACCCCTGGGCTGGGGCTGGGCAGGGACCAGAGGTCACACAGGCCACCCACTGAAATCTGAAGGTCACATAAACAGCCAATAACTTTTTAGTGTGTGTCCCAAATTTCTCATGGGACACACTTATGCTAGACTAAAAGTTTGCTGTTTATTTGAAATTCAGGTGTCAGTGGGCACCCTGTATTTGTTGTATTTGCTGAACCTGGCAAGGGCACACAGATTGGGCAGGGAGGGTCTATCCCCTGGCCAACTGGCTCTGGCCAGGGCTTGTGCCTGGGCGGCGCGGGGCTATAGCCACACGCAGGCGATTTCGAAGGGAAAAGACGAGCCCTGGCAGCTCTGGCGGCTCCCTGAGGCCGCAGAAGCGAAAGCGGGTGCGCTGTCCCGGGTGCTGATCTCGAGGCCGGGAGAGCCACGCAGACTGTCCTCCTGAGGTTCCGAATAGCCCCACCTGCCTGTCGCCCGGAGAACACAGGTTCGCCTCCTCCGCAGCCTTTGCCCACGGCGGTTACAGGTGCAGTGGCAGCAACCGACCCAGAGGCCGCCCGGAGAACACCACGTCCCACAGGGGAGAGCCCAGACGAAGGGCCAAACGCAGGGAGCCCACCCTCACCCCAGCAGCCACCCTGGTGTCCGGTGCCCGGACAGATTTGTCGTTCGAGAAGACGAATTAAGCTTTCGCACTGACCCCTGTGCCACCAACCTCTGCTGATCACTTTGGGCCAACAATGTCACGAGAAGAAAAGAAAGAGCGCATCCACCCCTTCCGCAGTGTTTTTGCCAGAAAACTTTCTCTTTTCACGCAGAATGTACCAAACT